ATTTGTTAACTGGTGTGACATAAACAGAGCTGTGTGGTTCTAACAAGTGTGGATGAAGCTGAATCAAAGCCTTCAGAATCAGGCTCACCATCATCAGCATCATTAAAAGTTTCTGGTATTCCTCCTCTAATAAAGGCATCAGAATCCCGTCAACAACAATCTCATGCTCTGTGTCTCYCCAGCGCCCCCTCTGGTGGGGAAACCTTTTTCAGGTAGAACAACTTTTACAGAACACCGGTAGACGGCAGCCATTACAGACGACCATGTGTTTGTTGTTGTTCCAGGAGCGGTCCGGTCGCACATTAATAGCATTAGTTCGTTATGCAGGACTGCTGTTTTTTTCTTTTTTTCACATCATGTTGCTGCTTGGATCTGTTACTATCTCGCTTGGAGGCACGAAGGAGTGCCAGAGGTGAGCTTGCTTCAACCGCTATTTATGACATGGTTTCATTTCCAGACTCAGGGATTTTGTGAATGAGGCCGATATTTCAGTTAAAATTCATCAGCAAAAATATTTATCTGAGCATTGTACTACCCCCCAACTTCGTGCATGATTTTATGGATTTAATTTTATGTATTATACTCGAATAAATACGGTAAAATTTCATTTTGTGTGGTTTAGGTGAATGAATGGAAGTCAATGTAAAGTCCCCATGAGGACAGAAGGAAAAATGTGTGTGTGTGTCATGTGAAAGGTGAGCATGCTCAGATTCATTTCTTTCTTTTCTGTGAACTGGTGATTATGACAATCTGCTGCCTAAATCCAGGAACAGCAGAGACGTTAAGTCCTTCAGACTGAGCGAAAGACCAGGAGAGATTCAGCATGGCCCACAAAAACGACTGTAAGTTTTACGCTCATTTTTTTACCTTTTGTCTGCTAGCAAAGCTSATCGTGAATGTGATTAGTAATGGTTCCATTAATAACACTGGATGGCATGAAACAGCACTCGGAGAAACTGGAGACCTTTTGTTTGTTGCCTCAGGATCTCACCTTGATTGGATTTTCATCTGCAGRACATTTGAGACCTAATTGCATTCCATTCCACAGTGATTCTTACTTGAGATCTAACAAATAAATAATGGTATAATAATTCCAATTCTAATGTTTTCACCTTAGGTTATAAATGCTGAGTTTATATTAATGTTGAAAAGAGCTCAATTATGAATGAAAAGTGTGTTTCAAGAAGACTATGAAAACTTTTCCATAACTGTAGTTTATTTTCTTCACCAGTTAGTTAAACTTATTGGGTCCATTGTGAAATCTGTCAGGAATTTCTGATTGCAACAACAAGCAGATTATTCTCACTGAGCCCATTTTCTCCCCCTCCCTTTTCTGTTTCTCTAACTCTGCAGTCCAGTTCACCATCAGGGAGTACAGCCCATCGGATGAACCTGCGGTCATGTCACTCTTCCACGATGGCYTTCTCGAGCACATATACCCAGCATTTTTCAAGGCCATGAGCAACTCAGACCATGTTGGGATAACTCTGAGCATTTCCATGGCTGGCTACGTGCTAGGAGGCAGTTCCTACTTCCAAGCTTTTCTTTTTGGCAGTGCATGGGCTGGCCTCATTTATTACAGCTGCCGTGACATCTATGATGGCTACATGATGGGGAGACAAAGCACAGACATGGCTGACATTCAAGCCAGCTACCTGCAAAACCCAGATAATGGTTTGTGGGTGGCAGAAGCAGACGTCAATGGGCAGGCCAAGGTGGTTGGGATGGTGGCAGTAATGGGCAAGAAAGAGGAAGAAGGTGTGAGGTCTGAGGACTGGAATGGAAGAGTGAGCACAGAGTTGGATGCTGGGAACAGAAGTTACGGACTGATGTCTCATCTGGTCGTAAAGTTTTCATGGCGCCGCAAAAACCTGGGCTCACAGCTGACCCTGAAGGCCTTGAGTTTCTGCAAAGGACGAGGTTTTTCCTGCCTTACTGTGGATGTCAGCACACCACAGACTGCCGCCATTTCCATGTTCCAGAAATTAGGCTTTGTTCAGAAAGCATCCCACCGTAACATGCATGCTAACTGGTGGTTCTCCAAGCTAGCAAGAATAAATGTGGTTCAGATGGAGAAGTTRGTTTAAATAAAATACTCCTAGACTCAAAGTCTGAAGTGACTTTTTGTCAAATAGTTATCAATATTAGGTACTTAATTGATTTTGACACCAGRTACAGATCATTGAATATGGAGAGAGGTGTAGAAATATTTTACTATGCTAGGCTAATGAGGGCACGTTTAAAAATTAAAATCTTGTTTCAGGCTTATACAACTATTTTTTAAACAAAGATCCACCAGGTTGTACAAACATTAGGTTAGCTACTAAAGCTCTACACATTTGCATGACATCATTAGTTAAATTTGTCCAGTGGTGGGCACAGCTAACTAAAAGGTTAGCTTCACTAACCTTTAAATAAAAATCTACTTGCCAGTGCTAGACCACAAAACAGATTAAAAATTAGGAGAAGCTAACAATAACCGTTAAAACATCTGTCACTCAGTAGTTGTCACACATTTTCATCTCCTTCCACTTSAAAACTTGTGGGTTTTATACAGCAGCACATTGTTATAAAGACAGTAAGAGCATAAAACCCTGTTTGTGTAAAATGTGTCGCTCTGTGCGTCCATAAAAAATTAAAATTTAAAAACCCCACAGTTCCAGGCTGGAATATACAGAAAAGTATTAGAATCAATCAATCAATCAATCAATCAATCAATCAATCAATCAATCAATCAATCAATCAATCAATCAATCAATCAAATAAATAAAAAAATAAATAAATAAAATTCAGTTAGTAAGTAATGTGCTAATCCTCATTTGTATGAGTAGTTACTGTGTTGTGTAAAAATAATAATAATAAGCTTGTAAAATGAGAACATAAGTAAATTATGAAGGTTTTTCGAGTTTTGTAAAATGTGAGTTTCATTAAATATGCCATGACTAGAAAATCAAAGTCTTTCCAATCATTTTACTTAAAGATTAGAAGCATTTCTTGGATTGAGTTTACCCTTTGAAGTTAGTTAAACAACAATTAGCAAATACTTTCTCTACAAGATTTTATACGTAATCATTTTTTGTTTTTATTTGAATGTTGTTTAATGTTATTTTATTTCTTTTTAAGTTTAGCTGCTAAAGATGCTACATGGTCCAGCAATACTTGCAAGAGCAATTAGTTTTTATTTAATTATGTATAAACAGCATAAAAATTTAAATTTGGCTCTTGTGAATTTTTAGTGGACTTAAAATTACTGGAAGATAATTGGTCCGCTAATACGGAGCCCGCGAGGGGARATGGATGTTTTTCTTTTGCGTTCCCTCGCAATACTTTTGCGTTACCTCGCAATATTGTTTTGCATTCCCACGCAAAAGTTTGTTTTGTATATGAACTGAATTAAATCAGACTTTTATTTTGAAATATCCAGTTACCAAAACAGGATGTGTCACCACAGTTCGTGAATTTGACATTGATGTTGCGTGGCTGCACTGTGTTAAAATATCGACATATGACATACTTCCATGTGTGTCTGTGTGATATATTCATTCTGAAGCTGAATTAAAGCAGTTAGCTAACTCGCTAACGGTAAACATGTGAGTTTGATAAACCGGCAGCCACAACKGTGTTTAACGACTTTTGRGAGGGAACGCAAAAGGTACTGTGAGGTAACGCAATACTTTTGCATGGGAACGCAAAAAGAAAAAAAATCCCCCGTCCCTTCGTGGGCTCCGTATGCTAATGGTTTCCAAAGTAGGTAAAATAAGAGAATCAGTTAAACGAGAAGCTAGTTCCATTATTAGCATTTAGCAGTTTAATGTAAATGTGCCCACCACTGAGTTTGTCTTTGTTTTCTCATTCCAACAATGTCTGTGTTGTGTGAATTTATGTGCGATGAACATAAACCATGTTTTTGTTGTGTGCTGACACTGTTCAGTGTGTCAGTCCACTGGTTAAACTAGATGTGCCAAACAGTCTGGGTAAGGCTTCCTGCAGAGAATGGAGCATATAAATAATAGGATTAAAATAATTTATGTACTAAATGCACATGTCTTGCAAAGGCTGCTGGTAATGATACTGTTTTTTGTTTTTAAGTGGTTTGTTTTAATTTTGTTGTGTTTAATGTGAAACTGATCCARTGCTATCTGGGCCAGGACTCTCTTTCAAAACACCGAATCTCAATAGGATTGTTTCTGGTAAAACAAAGCATATATTACAATAATAATACTAAATTACATAATGTTTTATTTCACACTGGTATGTTGTTTGGAGCAAATGTTTAAGCCTGTAAAAAATAAAAATAAAAACAGTCTCTTGCCTTTATTTGAGCTTTGATTAAGAWTTCTGCCCTCTCCTTCAGACTCCATGCTCAATGATGTCACAGCTAATAAGGTGCTAACTACTGATAATTATTCGACAGATAACCAGACTAATCCTTTAACTCATAGTTTAGTTAAACTTTTTATCACCCAGAATATTTCAGCTAATTTCTATTTGTTGTTTTTGTTCAATACAAAATAAAATGCAGTATCAGCTTCCTAACCTACCATCATGATAGTTAAAAAAAGAAAAAGAAATGTTCAGTTTCTGTGTGTTTTTCTTACCTTGATGTATTATGTATACCTGATTCATCCATTGCCCACAAACATGGAGAATAACGAGACAATTAGTCAAATTATTAGTAATATTATTATTAGCAAATGGATTAAAAATAAATCTCAAAGCTGCTATTGTAAATTACTTCAGAAGCATAATCACATTTAATTCTGTATTGTTCACCTGTCCAATAAAGAGAGTAAAAAAGTTTGTTAGAAAGGAGGAATGTAGTCATTTGGAAGCAAAAGAACTTTCTCTTAAGCCTCTTTCCGGGGAGCAGTTGAATCCTCCTGCCTCGGAGGAATTAATGCCAGCTGACTTCTAAGACCTCACAACTKTTTGCTTAAAATACCAATGAAAAATGCAGTAGTATCAGGACGTTGGAGGGTTTAAAATTCTTTGGAGCTAAAYGAGCTCTGGGTGTGTATGTGTGTGGCATTCAAATCAGGAGACAGGCTCAAATACACTGCAGTGCAATCCGGTCAGTGTACACAAAGCAAATACTGAGATTATTATACCAAACAAGGCTCTGTGTTTCTGCTGGTGGTCTTATCATCTATTTGTAACTAAATAAAAGTCACAGAAGAGACAGACGTTTTATGCTTGTTTCACAAAAATGTTTTTAGCAGCTCTTTCCACAGAAAAGCTGTGTCAACTTCTGAAACTGTGCCTGGAATCAACCTATTTCACATATGGGGGCAACACTATAGGCAGAAACATGGGTGTGCTGTGGGCTCT